CCCTACCACCCTCCCGCTGCTGAGCGAGGGGCGTACGCGGCGTCCCCGTGCTCAACGCGAGTCATGTAGCCTCGCGGCGTGGCAGGGCGGGGCGTAGCCTCTCACCCTGCCCCGCTCTCGACGCCTCCCAATTATTACACGGAAAAACACGCCTATCTATATGCAGCGCCCTCGCGCCTTTTTCTAAAAAAACACAACACAACAACAACAACATAAAGCGTGTCGTTGTCCGTGTGAGCCCCCCCCCCCTCTCTCTCTCTCTCTCTCTCTCTCTCTCTCTCTCTCTCTCTCTCTCTCTCTCTCTCTCTCTCTCACTCACTCACACGCGCGCGAACACATCGCCGCTCGCGCCTCGCCACGACCCCGTGTTTTTATTGTTTGTGTTTGTCCGGTACTTTTACTCTTTTTGTCACACCATCGCAGAGACACGACGCCACCTTATAAAATATTTGCGGTACGCTGAGCCAGTCGGGCAAATAGCGCCGTGTCGCGCCCGCCGCCCCCGCCACGGCCGCGCGGGTCCCGCTGGTCCACAGACCGCTGCCTCCCTAGTTCCTCCCCTCTTCTCACAATCATTGTTATTGACCTTTTATTTTCGTGATATCGTCTCTGTATTGCATCGTTATAGCACTGATAACAAAAATTTGCGATGGAACTATCATGCGCATGGTAGTGATAAACCCCTAGTTTAACGCCTCCAAAGCGGCACCGATCTGGTACTGGTACTGCTATTGCGCCAAAAATGTTACACGTTTTACACAAGTAATGCACATTGCAGCGTTAAAGTCGCATAAATGTGACTTAATGCATATTAAATGCATCGAAAATACTTCAGGACTGCCTTCACTTTGAACGTGAGTCATGTTTTTCGTTCAAAGTCGGTGACATGTTTTTATATCGCCTATAGATAGTGCATGATTTCTTTATCACTTAATAAGATCGGCATGACTCAATCCGTATCACGAAATCATTGCTGAATTAGAGGAATCAGAGTCATCTGGGCCAAGATCACTTTTAAAGATTCAAGAGTCATACAAAAGCCAATTATTTGAATAACTCTAAAGCAGCGACATCATTCAATATCGCTCTCGAAGGAGTGATCTAATTAGGTGCACGATATCGCTCTCCCGCAGAAGCGAGATCTCTGGAAACCCAAGTGTGTACATGTACAGTATGCGTTATTTGCTGAATACCTACATGTATGCAGCAAATAGTGTGTACATGACCATGTATGCAGCAAATACTGCATACATGGCCAGGTACACACGTAGAGCTCCATTCTAAAAGATGTGGGCCGAGGTGTGTACCTACCTGGCCATGTATGCAGTATTTGCTGCATACATAGTCATGTACAGTACACACTATTTGCTGCATACATAATCATGTACGCAGTTTGCTGCATATACTGTAAATTGCTTACGAACAATAGGTTTGTAGTGCAAATCAAAACCTTCGTAGCTTACGAAGAATTTTGAATGAAGCGTTGTATTACGAACTAATTGTTCGTAAGCTTACGAACAAATAGTTCGTAATGCAAACCGATTATTCGTAAGAACCTGTCAAGCCTTACAACAATCGCTTTGCAATACGAACAATTTCTTAAGAATTTGCAATACAAAGAACGAAAACTGTTCGTAACGTTGCAAAGCATTTAGTTCGTAAGCCTTTTTATAGTGTACATGTAGGTATTTAGCAAATAACGCATACATATACACACTTGGGTTTCCAGAGATACCTAACTCCTCCATTTTCAGTGAATTTTCAGCGTCTCGAGCAACGTATTTGATCATCCCAAAATATAGGGGGAAAAATTATATCTATAATGGGTCAAAATTAAATAAAATGTGCAAAAATGTAAACACTTAGTCCAAGTTTGGACCCAAATGCTGCGTTTAGCAGGGCTTTGCTTTTTTGTGAGCAAAATTGTCCTTTTACATAGAAAGTGTGCCTTACAGACGTATGGAGAAGACAAGCCCCCTTATCGAAGTTGCAGAAGTCAGTAGGTCTCCTTCTTCCTCGCCCTTGCCAGAGGGACTCGGTCACAAATTTGTTTTCGACCGTTATCATTCGGGTGATTATCGTGACGATCTCTCGGGATTTAAGAAGCCGCGTGAAGTGCGCCGATAGCGCGTTTTAATGGGGTGTAGTGGCGACAGCGGCGCCTTTTCCTCCTCGTTCCTGTCCGCATCCAAATGTCTTATCACGCAAACGTTTGCCCTTTGCTAATACGTAAATACTTTAAAACGTTTTTGCACATCGTAAGCCACCTCTCACGACACACCGTTACATGGAGGAGATTTCCAACGCCCCAGATCGTTACCGTGTAATGTGTGGGTATAATGTAAATACTATAATTTATTTTACCCGAGCGCTTCAGAAAATAACTTAGAAAAGCACAGAGCACACAGGGGCGGTCGATGGAAGCCCAGCCCCAGCCCCGGGGCGGGTGTATGGGGATGGCACACCGGTGGATATGAAACAGCGCTCACCGTGAAACAATCACAGAGCACCCCCTCCCTCTCCGACCCCACCTCGCCGCCCCCAGAAGGCCAGCAGCAAGCAATATCGTAGGATGGCGCCATGGGTGCTCGTGGCCCACAGCTATGAGCGGGCGGGGCGGGTGCGCGCGGAGGAGCGCCGTGGGTGGG